ATCTCCCCAATATTTATTCCACTCTGTATGCATCCGAAGAAGTGGGCTGTAGTCCACGAAAGCTTATGCTCTAATAAATTTGTTCGTCTCTAAGGTGCCACAAGTAGTCCTGTTCTTTTTGCGGATACAGACTAACACGGCTGCTACTCTGAAACCTGTGTACTCAGAGCTTTTTGTCTTCATTAATACAAAGACAACATTAATAAAGCCCTATTTGCAGGAGAAATAAAGTCCTTGGTTAAGGGCTCACCTAGTCCTGTAGCCTCGTTGCCACCTGAAATCAGTCCTCTCCTCTGGCACCTTACTTGTTCCACTACAAACTGGAACTGACCTGATGTTTGCCATTGAGTCTTCCCCTCCCTCCACACAAGAGCCATGCGAATTAAGGGGTCTCTTTGCTCTCCTCTAGAGTGGCAGAGACTGGCTAGCAGCAAGATGGACCAGTGGCCTGCTCTCCTGGCCCCTGTGAACACCCTGATCTATTCAGGAAAGCTCTAGCTACGTTGGGTTGTTTTACACCCAGAAGGTGACCATTCCAAACCACGATGGAAGTTGCTAGGGAAGGTCCGTTTTGCAGTGCTGCAGTGGGGTCTACATTAGAGGCTCCCTCCCACCCTGTAAAGCTGTAGGGGTTCCCCACCCCCAGCCCCTGTAGCTATATCTGCATCGTTCCAGAGGCGGAAGTTTCCCTAGTGCAGGCTGCAGCTGGATCTGGCTTAGGTGCAGTTTGAGTTACCGGAGACGTACTTTTACGTTCCTGACGCCTCCGAGCTGTTTGCGGCATTGAAGGGAGCCACATCAGTAACACTCCTTTGCCATTCCAGGGAGACTTCCATCTGGGGATCTTAAAGCGATTTACGTTCATTTATTCATTAACACCCCTGCGAAGCAGGAAAAGGCTGCTCCACTCATTTCTGCTGTGCAGCAGTTCCCGCGACTTACTCACGATCACATAGCAGGGAAAGAGCAGAACCCAGTGGCAGTACGCTGCTCTAACCATTAGGTCACACTACTGCCGCTGTTGGCATCCAAGGTTGGGGAGCAGAAGGGATTTCCGAGGGATGGAATGCTCCTTGTCTTTGGTTCCACCGATTGGCAGAGCAGCATGAGCGATGGCTTGGGATTGTTCCTTTTGGCACCACTGTGTGGATTCCCTTGGACGTACTGTGTGCTGGGCTGACATTACAACAGTGAACACTCTATCCTAGAAGAGGCCAGTGATTTGAGGGAGTGGGAGGGAGAACGGCAGCCTCGGTTACAGCATCTCACTTTCGACACTAGATTTGGCACTGCTATATTACAAAAAAACGGGTATGCGTCTATTGTACAGAGCCTAACACCATGGGGTCCTAGTCCCTGGGTGGGGCCCCTAGACACTTGCCAACCTATAGCACAGAGATAGGGCCCTGACACCGCACATGGGTCAGAGCACGGATAAGGATGAGGCATGATAAGGAGGCCTCACAGGGACAGGTCTCTGCCCAGTTTGAAAGCCAACAGGGCCAGTTTAAGAATCAGTCCTCCACTCCCAGAAGACCCAGTTCAACAAAGCTCTGAAGCATATGCTTAAATCTCATTGGCTTCAAAGGGACGCAGGCACATGCATAAACTCAGATCTGAGCGTAAGTGGGAAGGACTTTGCTGACTCAGAGCCAAGGCTGGTGGACTGTGATTGGCGCTGCTCAGACCACCGGCTGGTGTTAGCCCAAGCAGCAGGAAAGCCGGGAAGGAAATGCAATAACCGTTGTGTGTCGTGTTCGGGGGACACCATGGGACAAACCCAAGGGGGCAGCCTGTGCAAACTGGGCAGCTGGAGAGAGCACAGACCAACGGGGCTGGGTCAGAGATAAGAGACCAAGGGCGCAGTATATTGTTGAACTGATTCTATTTCCAATACAAATCGGCACCGACTGCACACTGAGACGCAGAACTCTGGCCAGCTAGCCAGTACCATGTATAGCAGGTCATTTCCACCCCACCCTGTTGTCATTGCACCTTCTCTCTCACTTTAATTACTGCACACGGTGGAGCTCCCCGGTAGCGACCTCGGCAAACTCCCCAACAGCAAAGTGACGTGAACATCACGTCTGTGTCATTCCGTAGCAAAGCTGCACTTCCCCTCCGGGCATGTTTCGCTCAGCCGGAGAGGGATTCTCCCTCACTCATGGGTGCTCAATGCTGCATTCCGCCCACCCTCTGCTCTCACTGAGCAGAGAGGAGAAATCGCCACTACCCTAGAAAACAGGTCTTGCTACAGTCACCCACGCCCACGCATCCCCGCCAGCGCCCCTGCCGCTTGTTGCTTCTCTCCCGGTGATTGTACCTGGAGACCTTTTGCCAGACACAATCCTTTCTATTAGATAAAACCCTGCTTCCGAGGAAGCATTTGCATATGATTTCTGTTACTGAACAACAGAAATAAGGAAGCATTCCACCGTGATACTCGGTAATTCACTGGCCAGCAGTAGCAGCTAACGTTTTGCTCAGCTATACACAGACACACGCATTAATTACACCTTAATGACGGCACTAGATTCAGGTTTCAGTGGTAGCCGTGTTAGTCTGTATCAGGAAAAAAAAACGAGGAGCCCTTGTGGCACCTTAGAGACTAACAAGATTTGTGGTTTAAGTTTCCCAGCAAGTCACTAATCTGACCTGAAATTGCATAGAACACCCATGTATGCATCCTCAAGGGGCCACGTGACAGCTCTGTGATCCTGTTATTCAGAAACGGACCATGCAGCCTGCACAGAGTCGGACTACCTCCCACACAGAGCGAAACATGTAAAATCACTTTCACGTGGAACGGGCCGGGGGGGGGTCTCTCTGCATCCCTGCGGTCATATGTGAACGTAGCCGTCCCTGCTACAGCGGGTCAATGCATGGGCCGCTAAACAATACAGAACAGGATCAAATCCAGGTTAGATCAGCCTGGAGTTCGGAGGGAGGGTTGAGGGCAGGGCTGGCTTTCACGCCTCACAGACCCAGAGCCCATGACTGTTTTTTTGCTGGTGATGGGTGCCTTCCAAATGCTAATGGTAAATAGAAGACTGGTGTTTCTATGGGGTCACGGATTCTGAAGAACCGTTATCAGAAAAGAAGAGGATGAAAAGTTACTGGGATGCTCTCTTTACAGGACATATGGGTCTTTGTTCCAGGTAACACAATTACTGGCTATTCCCCAGTGCAGGGGTTCTCAACCCAAGGGGTCCGTGAACAGGGGTCATGACCTCCTGGCCCTTCCCATAGTGCTAAGAGGGAGCGGGGTCCCTTATAGAACCATTGTCCTAGCACTCAGTGCAATAGTTCTTGTGCTGCCAATAGTGACATCTGAACCACTCTGCCCTCCTTTCCTTTGGAGAAAAGTAAAAAAATAAAACGAACAGCTGGGGGGCGGGGGGAGAAGGAGTCTACTTACATCCGTCCCCTCATTCCAAAGCCGAGATGGCAGCACCTCCGCAGGGTGGGGCTTTACAATCCCACTCTTCCTTCCCCTATCAAAGAAAGACAAGAGACAGAAGGAGTACTTAGTGCAGTGGCATACAGGGAATTGTTACTCCTGGGGGAATTCTATGCCACTGCGTGTGCGCAGAATTCATGTCTCCTGCAGATTTCTTTGCTTCCCTGCAGAAAAATGACTTTCTGACAGGGAAGCAAAGGGAAGCTGCAAGAGCAGTCATGCACCACTCTCTCTAATAGAGCAGATACATCGTTTCAGGCATCCGGAGCAGCCGGCAGAGCGGTAAATCACTGTGGGGCTGGGGACACCCCAGCCAGTGGCTCCTATCCTGAGCCGGGATCAGCTGCTAGTTCTGGCTGAGCTGGAGGCTGGAGAGGACTGGACTTCCTCTTCCCCTGAAAGAAGTGGCTGGGGCTGTGTTGGACCGACCCAGAAACCTCCCCCAGCTGCAGGAAACACAGCATCCACCGCTGCTTCCTGCCCCCATCGCTCCTCACCTGTGGGAGGAGGGGTCACTGTACCAGGAGCTGCTCCCCCATCCATCTAATCCCCGTGCATCCAGACCTCCCACACCCAGACCCCCCCGCCAAGCCTCACCCCGTACCCCAACCCCACTGAACCTTAACCCCTGCATGTGGAGCCCCCCTGCACCCAGACCCCCTGCCTCCAGAGCCCTACCTCTTCACCCAGACTACCCCCACTGAGACTACCGCACTCAAACCACCACCCTGAGCCCCCACATCCAGACCCCCATGCCACTGGCCTCTAACTAGCTGCACCCAGACCCCCATCCAGCCCCCGGACCTCCCAGATGAGACCCCCCCACACCCAGTCCCCTCCGCTGAGCCCCAACCACCTTCACCTGGAAGCCCCTGCAGGGTCTCATTGCCCCTGCACTTGGAACCCCACCCTCAACGAGCCTCTGTGCATCCAGATCCCCCTACACCTAGATCCCCCCACACCTAGACCCCCCCCCAAGCTGCCTGCACCCAGATTGCCCCACACAGAAACCTCTCACCCCACACCTGGATCCCCCCACACTGAGCCCACACTGAGCCCACACTTGGATCCTGCCTGGTTGAGCCTGCCTGCCCCACACCTGGTGCGCCTGGCACAGAGGAGCAAGGCCCCTGGGTGTTTCTGGGGCAGGCCCAGGTCTTGTGCTGTGTCAGGGTCGGGTGCAGCCTCACCACTGAGTCCGTGTCCCGGGGTGGTGGCAGAGGGGCTGCAGGGTGATCTCCCACTTTCATGCAGCCAGTGGCCTGTGCTCCCCACTGCCATGCTGGAGACTCTGCATTTATTTATTGACAAATAAAACTTGCAGAATTTTAAAATATTGTGCGCAGAATTTTTAATTTTTTGGCGCCGAATGCCCTCAGGAGTAAATTGTGCATTACTTAATTGATTCTTGTATTCAGAGCCACTAGAACCCACTGGGCTGGGGTTGGGGAGTTATAGGACACGAATGTCCCCATGCATCTCACCACACACCGGCTGAGCTGTGAATTCAACCTCTGAACAGATAATTCCCCCTCCATCTCTTCCATTGCTCCTGCTACCGTGATCTAGTATTGTGCAACTAGGGGCCATCCCATCAGAGCCCGCACGCAGGGCTTGTTATTTCACCCTGGACGATGTTACCGATCCCAGCTCTTGAGCAGAAACAGAAGCTGCTACCTGAGATTAGCAGGGGGGGGCATCTGGTGCCTGAAACTCAAAGCCATTTGTGCTGCTGGTGAGATGCAGCATCCCCACCTGTAAGCAGCAAGCTTCAAGACTCATTGACTGATTTTGAAAATGCCCAGCCCAGGGTGGCTTAGCCTAATCTTCTCAAGAGGATGTTTATGTATATTAATCTGTCACAGCAATAACCACAGGCCCTGCTGTGCCTCCTGGCTGCTTAGATTCCAACCAGGGCGGGTGCTCTGCCATACCTAGTTCATCAAAGGGGCACGGCACACTTAACAGCCCCAAGAAAAAACAAATTGAGCTGAATTGCCTGGATTCTTCTGGTAAGTTTCGGGTCTTGGCCCGTGGGGTTTCCTCTCGCTGACACAGACCTCTGCTGCTCTGGGATGTTTAAGAGAGGATATAAAAGAACCAGATCCTAGGCATAAAACTTTACACATACGCACCCCTCCTTTTCCTGCACCCACAGGCTGCTCTTGTGGAGAGCCGCTGGCACAGTCCCGGTGCAGCATCTGCTGCGTCTCTGGTAATGTATTAGCATCTCAGTGCATGGAGCATCAGGGATGCTGTGGGGATCCTGATGCTAAGATCACCCCCAGCGCAATCAGTTAATAGCCAGGGCACTAGAGAGGATGGGGACCTCTCTGGACTGCTGGCCTCAGCTGATTGACCAGGAACCTTGTGGTCCATAAGCATCCATTGCGAGTCCTGGCAAAGGCACGGCAGGATCTATTTGGACTGGAACTTAGCCTGCTAAGGGAAACAACGGAAGCCCTGTCGCTCTGGAGATTACAAACCAGAGAGGGAGAAAGCATCTTTCAGTAGGCCAAGGCTCCCCCTAACTACCATCCACAGCCATCTTCTCTCACCTTCCTCATCTCTGATGAGTTTGCTATAAACTACCTCATGAGCTATTCCAGCTTTAGCTGACCTCCAGGAGGGGTTCCTAACTCCTATTGCTCTGCGTCCTCCTCCTGGAGTCTGATGGGACATGCAGCATTGCTTCTCACTTTTAGGTTTTAGTGAGAATTGCAACCCCACTTACATGCTATTGCATGCTGTTCTTGTCAGCAATGGAAGGCAGTAACCCCTAGTAGTTAGAGCAAGACTCCTGCGCCCAGCTGGCCACTGAATCACTTTGGACCAGTCTTTTAACCGCTCTCTGCCTCTGGTTCCCCATCTGTAAAACGGATCCAACAAACATCATCATCATCATCATGTACTGTGACAGACCCAGACCAGTGGGGTACAGGAGTCTGGCAGAGGGCAAATATACTGGTCACTGGATGAGTAGTTTTCTGTCCCCTGAGTGACCAGAGCAGGGGCTGCACTAGAGTAATCAGGAACCTGCTAGAACCAGTTAAGGCAGGCAGGCTAATTAGGACACCTGGAGCCAATTAAGAAGAAGCTGCTAGAATCAATTAAGGTAGGCTAATCAGGGCACCTGGGTTTTAAAAGGAGCTCACTTCAGTTTGTGGTGAGAGTGTGAGGAGCTGGGAGCAAGAGGCGCAAGGAGCTGAGAGTGAGAGGGTGTGCTGATGGAGGACTGAGGAGCACAAGCGTTATCAGACACCAGGAGGAAGGTCCTGTGGTGAGAATAAGGAAGGTGTTTGGAGGAGGTCATGGGGAAGTAGCCCAGGGAGTTGTAGCTGTCATGCAGCTGTTACTGGAAGCACTATAGACAGCTGCAGTCCACAGGGCCCTGGGCTGGAACCCGGAGTAGAGGGCGGGCCCAGGTTCTCCCCAGACCTCCTAATTGATCTGGACTGTGGGTTCTTCCAGAGGGGAAGGTCTCTGGGCTGTTCCCCAACCGTCATGGTGAATCTCTGAGGCAAGAAAATCCACCAATAAGCGCAGGACCCACCAAGATAGAGGAGGAATTTCGTCACAGTACCTACTTCACAGGGTGTGGCATGACTCAATGAGTCTGAGGCACGCAACGCTCGTCAGATGCTAATCTAGAGGTCACGTTCATCACAGAGCTGTTACTGCAAGAGCCAGTTTAGAAACACAGGTAAGAGCCAAAGAAGGACCAGCAAGGGTCTCCTCTGCAGGGAGGGCCCAGCATGAAATGAGGCCAGCTTCTCACAACGGTATCCGGGCTTTCCAGAAGAGAAGCGGTGGGATGCAGTCAGTTTGTTGCCCACCATCATCCTCATTCTCCTTGGGAGTGGAGCTCTGGATAACTAATTCTACATCTCCACTGAGAGTTGTTCTTTCCCTGGCTCACTCCTCCCCATCAAACCTCATCTCCCTGCTCCGAATCGGGTGCCACTTCAGTGTCTCCCATCCCCATATTTTTAAATAGATCATCTATGTTTACTACACCGCCCCGCTTGGAGAGGGCCAGAAACGTAGGCGGCACAAAGTTAGCCTTGAAGGTCATTAGACAAGTATGTGAATCCTGAGCCACCTGACACATCCTCCCAATCCAACAACCTGTTTGTGAGCCAACCATTTATCCACCCTACCAGGCAGCGCTCCTCGGATCACTCAGCAAGCTTCCCCCGTTCTACACTCCAGTACCTTTGCGACAGTCATGATTAGAATTAGATGTGTTGCATTGCCATCAGCTGCCCATTCAGTTAGTAGGTCAAAGAGAGCATGATCTAGTTAACCAGGCCCCCTGCCCATGCTAGCCATTACCGCACAGCTTAGCTCTTCTCCAGTTGCTCTCCCATAGTAGATTTTCACCAGGCAGAGAAGCTTATTTAGTGCTGCTGGAATGTTTCAGAGTGACATCACTGGAGTTTAATTGTCCTGTGAATGGACAGAGAGCAATGAAAGCCAGAGAGCTGCAGCGGTGCCAGCTTCCACCCCACCCCCGTCCCCCCAAAGCCCTGTTCTAACATGTTTCAATCCAGCCTGGGAGGGACCCCTTCTGGAGGAGTTCCGAACACACAACTCATTCCTTTTGGTCTTCCTGCCAAGACTGGAGTGAAGGGAGGCAAAGGAGAAGGACGTGGACCTGTGCCACTAGAAGAAAGAACCCCATTAGTTTCACGTGAACACCAAACAGTCTATAACAAGTGGGTGACCAGATCACCGGTAAGCCCTTAAGGGAAACATGCAGCCATCCAGTTCTCAATGGCAAACAACTCAGGAGTGCAACATACATGTGAAAGGTACGTATTGATAGAGCACGGTTTGCAAGGATTCTAGGCAAAATACAACAATGTGAGCAAATCAACCTGAGCCGGCCTCCTTTCCCTACTCCTCAGAGAACAGCAGAAGTTCCACCTAGCAAATCTCCGCTTCACTCGGACAAATATGAACGCCTTAGAACACCAGAGGAAGCAGATAGCAGGGGTTCCATCAGAGCAGCCCAGGGCAAATTTGGCTCAA